GTACAGTGCCTGGTGCCCCCGAGTCATCAAGAGCCCTCGTCGTGGCCTCGATGTCATTGTGCCGATGGCTCCGGTAGGCCAGTGAAGCAGCCTCGAAGCAAGCACGCCGCGCGGCTGCAGACTTTTCAGACAAAAGCCATCAAGGGCCATGATTGGGTGGAAGAGTACTCCTGTTCAGGTTTGACGTGGCTCGACTAGAGACCTGAATCAAAGCGGCGCAGACCACCTGCAAGGGGGTGGGGGGCAGTCCAATCTTTCTAGGGTACTGCCCCTTTCTCTATGTCCTGGGATTCCATTCTCTTCACACATTCACACTCATCAAAATTATCGCTCTCTTCGCCCACAAGCAGAAAGAACGATACCGTGCAAGTATGTGAAAGCGTGGAGAGAATGGGCAACTGCCGAGCATAAAGAGGTTTCTTGCTGGGCCCCATTCTCTTCACATGTTCACACTCTTCAAAAATATCGTTCTCTTCACCCACAGACAGAAAGAACGATTCCGGCAAAGTATGTGAAGAGCTTAAGAGAATGGGACGGTGACCGCTAGACTTTCCGTCCCTCCAATCCCAGACGCACCCCAAATCTGAAGATTTGAAAATCTTGCAAGATAAGTGTGCATACGAGGGCCTCTTGCCTAAACTCTCAACTACACTCTGCAGCCGAGTATGAAGGCACATGATTTCGCAGAAGTCAGATCCTGGTCCCGACATTTTCGGGGAAAAATTAATAGCCATATTCCCAAAAAGCCCTCATGCAACATAAAAGAAGGCATCTATACTCCAAAGCTCTCTTCTAGGTACGGCTTCGGGATTGCATGAAGTATTGCATGCCCTTGTAAGTTTCAGGGGGTTAGGGCTCCGTGTCTCGAACTCGAACTCCAGGCCTGGACTTCCACACAAACGGCTAGCTCCGACACGTGGAGTGGCTCCGATCCAGCACTTGCAAAATCACGGCCGTAATCATAAGCCTGCTATTCCATAGCTGAAAGAATCTAAGATCATAGACGGCGAGCGCAACGACATCTTGGAGGGTGAGACCTCCTAGGGAGGGAGGTCTCGAGCCACAAGGTTTTCAGGGTTTGAGGGTTTAGGCTCTCCGGGCAACCATGGCACTGAATTTCAGGGTTGGGGTTTTCGACTCTGACTCTCGCACACAGCAGGCAAGGTGTCCGTCACGCAGGTTTAGGGTTTAGGGCACCAGGCTTCATGTTTAAGGTTTAGAACCGCACTGCTAGGCGCCATGTGTCAGCTGCTCGGATCTGAGAGTAGGGTTTTCGGCTATGTACGGGGTTATATGCTGTGGGGTGGTGTTTACAGATATTACACAGATGTGTATGTATGTGTATAGATATATATAACAAATCAACACACACCTCTCTCTCTGTCTAGTCAGCTAATTACTATCTATACACAATTTAGGTGTGTCTATACATAAATATACAAAAACGCTTCAGCTAAGGTCCAGGCCGCGGCATAGCGTGCCGCCAGCTTGGCGGCCAGCGCATGATCTTGGTCATCCTCCTTCCGTCAGGTCTACTGTTCTATAACGCAGACTGCTCGACCCCAGATTGTATCTGAAAGCCAAAATACAGAACCTCAGTGGGGCTTGTAACATGCGAGGTCGGTCTGTGATGACTGGACTGCACAAAGCCCGTGTGGGTCCTCTGTGTGCTTGCGTGGTCTCTTCATCTGGCTTTTGATAAACGCAGACAAACAGAAAGAACGACATACTGAAAGGTACAGCCATTTGGAGGCGCCTTGAGGTGCGCAGGCCGCAGGCCGCGAGTGAAAATCCTACTGCCACAGAAGTTGTCGGCGTTCTCGGATCTTAGTCTGGGTGCTCGTCGACACTATACTCACGCCGACCCAGCGCTTGAACGTCGAGTGGCACAGTTCGGCAACTGTCGGACAATGTCGTCGATGCTGCGGCTCCGGGCAAAGCGGATGATGCCGTTGAAGGCCTTCTTCTTCTGAGCACTGTCAGCACTGTGCTATCCCCCTATTGATCGCAGATCCGCTGTCAAACTTCATGCTCGCGATTCACGCTCTACACAGCCGTGAACCAGAACACCGCCCGAGATCACCACCTGAAGTCCACGGTCAAGCAACAAACAGATCACCACAAGGGCGAACCGACCGCGCATGCACTTGAGTTCTATCAAATGCAGCTGCGAATACTGGGGCAGTTGGAAAAGACACTCCAAAGCAGTCTTGCTACGAGCATGACAGCAAGATGATGGCCTCAGAAAGCTTACAAAATCATGCCCAACTGAAGCTCGGCCACATTCAAGGAATCCACACCACTGGCCATCCGGATTTTGACCAACTTGTCGCAGGCTTCGCGCACAGCTGTCTCAACACCAAAGTGCTCTGACCCAAGAACCATGGCCCATCGTCGTGGGAGTTCTTGTACCTTCGGGTGCATGATGTTGCAAATTCAAGCTGCTCCCATAAAAAGAGTCAGCCCCTCAACACACACGCAGCAACCCTACAACCAAAAACCTGGCTCCAGCGCCTCGTCAAAATAGACTGCACCCTCTTGTACCACCGCAGCCAATGTCAGCACACCTTCAGCACGAAGAAGGCGCAGGGCCTCGGCTTCCCGCCAAATCCTGCCTCCAAAGCCATAGGGGCATCCTTGCATAGATATAAAACACCCAGGACCTTATCCTAAGTGTTAACCAGAACCTTATCCTAAGTGTTAAGGCCCCTCCCAGGATCTTGTTGTCTCCAGAATCGTTTCGTCATCAACATCATCAACCCGAGTCTTGATTCATGACATGGTCAGCATCTTTGTTGCGAACTATGGTCGACTTACCACGACCACCACGGCTACATCCGCACAAAGCCAGCAACAGTGACCCACAGCACCTTCCAACGATTCCTTCCATGCAAAACAACAAAATCTTCACACGCCTGGCCTCTGGAAGGTCTCCCTGATAGCAGGGCATACTGAAGACCTGCCCACCGGAGACGCGAACCGCCCGCGCACTGAAAGGGTCGCAACCTTGGGATTAGATTAGGGTTTCAGATTAGGTTCTGCAGCGGTGGCTGAGGTGGGCTGCCAATGCTGCCGCTGCTGCTACAGCTACAGATACCCCTACTCCCACTCCGACCGACTAGGACTTCGACTACCGCTACCAGTAGTTACTACCACCACAACCACCACCGCTACTACCACGGCGACGCCTACTACTTAGTGTGCTTTCAATAGCGGCTCCAAAGTACTTAGCATCAGGCTCAGCAACAGCCAGGCGAGCACAGCACGCCGGAGAGGCCAAATGCTGCCGCGACCTTGAAGAGAGTTCCCACATTCCTGTGTCGCTTGTGGCTGTCAGAGTCTGCGCGTTTCGGATTCAAGACTCACAGGATCGTGGTGAATTTCGTTTTGCCTCTGCGACTTACTGGTAAGAGTCGAGCCAACCACATGAGAAAAGGATTCAATTTCGAACGAAGTTCGCCGCATCCGTTAAGCCATCCAAAATGATCAGGCGCAGTGGTGCTGAGCTGACTGCGAGTCCTGAGCACCCTCACGCACCATATCGCTTGTCATGCCCTATATAGTTTCTGCTAAGCACCGTGTTGCAACGCGGGGGAATCCAAAGAAGACTCTGCGGAATGCTGTGGATTTCAGGGTCAGGGGCTCTTGAGATTTTGAAAGGACCGCAGACCGACAATTTTTCTCAAAATCAGCCGTGGTTCCTGGAAGTACGGAATGCAGCCTTGCAGGGGCCCTTCGGCGGTATGCCAAAGCGAAAGCCAACTTCGCCCTGCCAGCTCCCAAACGGATCTCCGTCACTTCCTCGATGACCTCAATGCTACCTGTAGGCTCCATTGTAGTTCCTTTCTGGGGTTACCTTTTAGGATCCTTAATATAGATTTGGTTGAACCAAAATACGGAACTACATTGGAGACTCTAGGTACTACTGAGGATGCTGGAAGGCCCAGCTCTTCCCACATCTGCTGGACGCCCCCGAAGAACTCGATGGACTTCCGACTCCATGTGAGGCTGCAGCAGCACTTCTTTACAGGAATGCTGGCTCGTTAAGAGCAATAGAACTGCATCATAACCTGTCCAGCAGGCCAGGTCACCCGGACAAGCAACTAGCTGGTTGCACTCCGGTATGTTAAGCCCTAACCCCCCAGGTACCTACTATATAGGGTACTGGAGCCCCTAGGGCCCTATATAGTAGGTACCTGGGGGGTTAGGGAAGCTTATCGTGCTAGTTTTTCGTTTTTGCCATCAGGGCTCCTTCTGCCAGGACAATGTCCGCAGGCAGCTTCCGATGCTTTAACCCGCGAAATGCCTGCAGCCTGGCATCCTCTGCGCCTGTGACGCTCCAGATGCAGAAGGGGCCCGAGTCCATCAGCAACAGCTATGGCGGCTTACTCTTAGGTCTTGACCTGGATCTTGAGGTGGAGGAGCTCGAGCTGGACGGACTGTCACTGCTACTAGCTTCTACCGGCACTTCGTGCTTGTACGGATGTGTCCTCTGTGACGTTCCAGAGCCATCGAGCTTGGCGGAAATCCGCAACGTACCCAAACCGGAAGCAGCATTCCAATGAGCCGCGGATCCCGAAGCCCACAACCGCTAGCCACACCAAAACAGAAGAACTAAACCAACGGGCAAAGGTGCTGGAACTATCTTCCGAAGTGAAAGACATCTGATTGCCAGGAACGCAGGCCGGCCCGTATCAAACACCTGCTATTGGCGAGACTTGCACCAGCATTCGCCGGACCTTCTCCCACGGGAGGGGCCGGCCGACGCGAGAACGGTGACCTCAGCACGGTCCACAAATCTAAACCGGGCTGACTTGTTAGGAGTCGCGACAGTCCATGTAACCAAACCCCAAAAGTGAAAAATTCTTTCAACTCACTCACCCTCCTTGGCATGTCGCGTCATCGGACGGCGGCATGAGTGGCAATATGAAGGGCTGATCACGAACAGAAGCCGGGTATCGGGGACATCCTAGAAACCTAGCTCTTCGTGTTTGCCTCAAAAACCATGATGTGGAATGTCGTCTAGAATGTTTGTGTAACGAAGCTCCCGTCGTCACACAAGCGACTCTGTTCGGATAAGAGGCTTCGCAGGGCGGATCTAGGATTTCAGCTTCGGAAATTGGGTTGCTCCAGTGGTCTCACCCAAAACACTCCCTGAGACTCACCGGCAACTTAAGAACCTAAAACTCCCGAGACCAGCCGCCCTCATAGAAAAGACCCTGGGCCACAAGCCCGGAAACCCTCAAAGGCCCAGTATA